GATTGACACATTCCTCATTGAGTAATTAATATAATTTCTGCTTCATGGTTATTTTGAAGCTTTTATGAGATTGTAAATATGCAGCCTTGATGTATTTTAAGGAATTCCTTGCTGTAAATTAAGGAAACTTAATTTTCCCAGAAGTTGGAGGCAGTTAGAAGACTGACTTAGGAGAGTTTAGCAAGGACTTCCTGACCATCAGAAATTCAGAAATGCAGCTGTGTAGTTTTGTGTAAGATTGGCTGCTGGGGATGTAAGCCATTGGAGGTAGACGCTGGGTTGGCAGGCTCTTCTGAGAAATCCAAGACTGTATAGCACAGGAGCTTCACTTAAGCAAGAACTAGCCTGTCACCTCCCCTGCTTGTCTTCACACACAGCTTGGCCCAGGCATCGCTGTAGCGTCCCTAAGACTCGCTTACTCATGCACAGGAACTGCTTGCTGTTGACCTTGGTAGGAAGGGACCCTGGATTGTGTCCTACTTCTCCTGTGGCTTCTCCTGAGGGTCATGATCTGTGGCAGCCCCTGGAACAGGGCCTACCCCATGTCAGGTGCTTCTCCCAAAGATCAGCTGTGCAACTTGGCCTCAGCACAGGCAGCTGTGTGGGAGTGGCCAGTCTGAGCCGGGGCAGCTGTTCCAGGTCCCTGGGGACGGGCAGGGCTGGGACTATAGGGGCAGCATTTTTGAGACACTGTTTCTTATTTCTGGCAGACACAAGGGGAAGCCAGGGAAAAGCAGTGTGACCTTGGAGGGCAGGCCACCCACATTGGTCCTCTGTGGCTGTGCCCAGTCTTCAGGCTTCTGAGAGCTAGACCTAACCTTCTTGCCCCTTTGGATAGAGTTCACCCCATAGATCAGGGAGGCCATTCCCAGCAACCTGTCCTAGATAACCACGTAGCTGTCTGATCTGCTTGAGGTTCAGTAGAAAGGACAGTAGAACTTCAGGAATGATCTGGCCTTGAGCCCTCAGCCCCCAGGCCCCATCTCTTTTCTTTATCTTTAAGGAATCGTGAGGAGCGACCTCAGCACCCTGTCAGCTGTGAAGTTATAAGAGCCATTGCTGAAACCCTCTCCATCCCTGTCATAGCCAAGTAAGCCTCCGTTCTTCCTCATTTATTTTATGCTCTGCTCATTCGGAAAATACTTGTGCTAGCATAGAAAACTGGGATGGCAAAACAGGAAGAAACTGCAACAAACCAGGCATTGGTGGCACATGCCTCTGATCCCAGCACTGTGGAGTCAGAGGCAGGTGGATATCAGTGAGTTTAAGGCCAGCCTGTTCTATATAGGAGATCCAAAACTGACAAGAGAGACCCTGTCTACAAACAAACAAACAAGTTTGCTTAGCAGTTAAGGGTATCTGATACCAAGCCTGACAGTCTGAGTTCAGTCCCTGATAACTGAATCAATCCTATAACCTGTCCCCTGACCTCCACTTGAGCCATGTCATAATATTCTCCCCATCCCAACCAACCAAATAAATGTAAAACAGAAATCCTCAAAAACTGATCATAAAGGAAAAGGGGAAATGCAGCAAAAATGTAAAGTTAAGAGTGAGGCCAGCATTGACGTTCGGAGCTAGAGCTCAGGGCATTCTGATGGTAGCCTAGGCTATGGGGAAGGATAAAGATAGGTAGAAGGAAACAGTTGCAGAACCAGGCCTAGGGCAAGACAATGTCTGATCTAGAGTGATCTAGAATGCAAGATGCAGGGGTCAGTGTGAGGAGTACCAACCTAGAGCTCTTAGCAACAAGACTCAAGGACTATAAGTCAGGTCGAAGAAATCCAGACAGTGGCCAGGGAGTACATACCTTTAATTAGCCCTTGGGAGGTGGGCAGGTGGATCTTTATCTGAGGCTACATTGGTCTATATGAAAAGTTTCAGGCCAGCCAAGAAAATATGATGGGATGCTGTCTTAGAAAAAGGATGGAAGGAAAGAAAAGAAGGAAGGAAGGAAGGAAGGAAGGAAGGAAGGAAGGAAGGAAGGAAGATGGATGGATGCCGGGCATAGTGGAGCACACCTTTAATGTCAGCACTTGGGAAGCACAGGCAGGCAGATCTCCATGTTGAGGTCAGCCTGGTCTACATAATGAGTTTCGGGACAACCAGAGCTATGTAGAGAGACCCTGTTTCACAAAAAGAGGGCAGGGGGAGGAAAAGGAGGAAGAGGAAGAAGAAAGGAAAGAAGAATGTATGGATGGATGGAAGGAAGGAAGGAAGAAAGATCCAAACAAGCATATTCTGGGTGCTACAGATACTTGTGCTAGCAAGTACGTGGTTTTGATGAGCACCTCAAAGACTTAATAGGAAGACTCGGGGAGCTTGCACATTGCACACAGAAGTCCTGAGGAAAGTTACCTCTGACCAGCAGAACGAATGGATAGGGCGCAGGCGGTGCTAGATCCTATGTCTTCAGAAAAAGAAAACATAGAGGTGGCTTGCAGGACTAATGTCTCAGTTTCAGTCATACATCTTCAAATATTGTCTGCCTTTGGCCACTGTTTTGGATAGTAGAGAAGAAAAGTCAAACTTCTAAAAAAAAACCCACACTCTTGTATGCCAGACATAGTTTGGCTGTTCTCTGTATTGCTTTGTGTCCCTCATTAACATCGGGTTATGCACTGTCATCACGTAGAGTCCTGGTAGTCGAAGGGACTCGGCGAAAGCTTACTCATAGTGAATGGCAGATGAGTTCTGGAAACACTGGAAGGCTCCATTACGGAATTCCTCTGAGCCCCCTGTTGCTTTCTAGTGGAGGATCTCACGATCACATCCAGAAGCATTTGGACATAGAAGAATTTCGACAAGCCACTGCTGCCTCCTCGGTGATGGTGGCTCGAGCCGCCATGTGGAACCCCTCCATCTTTCTCAAGGACGGCCTCCGTCCCCTGGAGGAAGTCATGCAGAAGTACATCAGATACGTACGTCTTTGCACTTTTTCTTTCTTTCTTTTACTTCTTAGTTTTAACATAGAGACTTATCACCTAGGCTGACCTCCAGTTCCTTATTCTCTTGCCTCTACTCCCTGTGTTGGGATTGCAGGCATGTGCCACCACACTCAACTTGACAATAGCTTGTTCTTCTCACTCGAGTGTGGTAGTTGTGCTAAAGGATTTGTTTTATTTTTATTTATTTATTTATTTATTTATTTATTTATATTTATTCTGATGAGTTCGCTGGGTACAGCCCTGGGACGCTGGGATTCTATACTGGGCTGCACATATACACAGGTGGAAACAGTGAGCTGTCCTCAAGCTCTCCAGTGAGCTGGATTTGAGCAGAGATTCCAGCCCTTCCCCAGGGCAGTTTTCCACTTTCCTTTTCAGTCCCAAATCTCACTCATGCCTGGGGTTATCTATGTTCTCCTCCAGCTGTGGCATCCAGGCGGTTTTCTGATGGCTAATTAAGCTGGGGTGGTAGGATGAGGCATTTGTCCAGTTTTGGGAAGCTTCTGTCCTAAAGCCTCCTGTCCCCAGTGCCGCAGCCCATATCCTCTTGGTTCTCGGTGTCCTGTGGTGGGCAGGAAAGGGCTGGAACCTCTGCTCAAATCCAGCTCACTGGAGAGCTTGAGGACAGCTCAGTGTTCCCACCCGTGTACATGTGCAGCCCAGTATAGAATCCCAGCGTCCCAGGGCTGAACCTGACAAACTCATTTAAAAAAAAATCCTTTAGTTCAACTAGCACATTCGTAGTGACTGAGCGAGCTACGGCAAAGGGCTTTAGCTCCGCCCAGGCCAGCCGGCCAGCTCTTCTGGCCACCTGGCAAGTGTTTGTCCGAGAAGACATGTTCAGCAGTGCTGAGCCTGCTTACTAGGTGAAAGGTGATGCTATCACTGTTCTGCCATCCTTCGGCAGCTTGCAAGTGGGTGTGTTGTCACAGAGAAAGGGAATAGCCTCAAGCATCAACATGGATGCTTTTAGCATCCATGATCAGGTACTTTCTAAGCTAGACAAGCTGACTCATGGTCCTGCTCCTGGCTGGGACTTACCCACTTACTCCATACCTTCTCCTAAGCATGCCATGGCACTAGGTACTGAAAGCAGGCCTAAAGGAGACGCCACAACAGGGTGGGGGTGGGGGTGGGGGTGAGCACTTGAGGTGGTTCTGTAGGCCTGTCTATAAAGCCTTTACCTACTGCGGCTATCCTGCCCTGCCCCTAGCTGGGTAAGTATCCATAGTGTTATTTCTGGGAGGTCATCTGGCTTCCCTGGGCCTCACTTCTCAGGCTGTAGAGTAAGGTAACCTCTGTACCTATCTTTTTATAGATATTCAAGTTGATAAATTATGTGTATGAACATGCTTAGATGGGGTTGTGCCCCACCCACCTAGGGGAAGGTGAAGAGCATTTGTCAGGATATGGTTGATCCTGGTTGTAAGGGATAGAAATCTCACCCCAGCCCTAGGGCTAGATTTCCTCTGCCAAAATTTGCTGCGTTCCTTTCCCTGCCCTGGAAGATGCCCAGCATTTGTTTCTCTGTATTAGCCTGTGATGCCTGAAGCATGGGTTGGTTTTTTATACTTTTATCTTCAGTCAGGCTGTCTAAGTGGGCATGTTGTTCAACATGAGCCTTAGTTTGTATGACAGCAGGAGGAACAGGTAGCAGGGTGGAGGCAGTTCTTATGTGGGGGCAGGTCACACAGGCTTGGCTTTAAGCACACTTCTAATGCCCTCTTAGAACCCCTTTCCTTCCTCTGGGAAGTCGCCTCAGCATTTGCTGGTAGCTGGTGGGCTCATGTTAGTTCTCCTCTCAGGCGGTGCAGTATGATAACCACTACACCAACACCAAGTACTGCTTGTGCCAAATGCTTCGGGAACAGTTGGAGTCGCCCCAGGGAAGGCTGCTTCATGCTGCCCAGTCTTCCCAGGAAATTTGGTAAGAGTACAGTGGTCTCTCTAGCTATTCTTGCAGACGTGACCCAGACTTGACCTTGATCCCTAAGATTTTGCTGAGGGATCAGGGATGTGTATGTGTGGGAGTGGGGTGGTAGTACGGTTTTCCTTTGTAGAAGGGAGTACTTTCACAGCTTTGAAACCTTCCGTTCTTCGACTATCTTAGTAGCAGTTTTGGTAACTAGGGTGCTGTTAGATTAGGACAACATCGAGCTTAGGGACCACAGGTCTCCTTAAGTGTGAATACTTTTTCTCAGGTTTCAGCTTCCCAAGAAGGTAGTTTTTGTTACTAGCTTTTGTATGTATGTATGTATGTATGTATGTACGTACGTATGTATTTATGTTTGAAGACAGGGTCTCTCTGTAAAGTCCAGGCTGTCCTGAACTCCTGGAGGTAGGTAAGAGATAGGCCTGGGATGGGCCTTTTGCATGCCATGTTAACAAACAAACAAACAGTGATCAATAGAGACGAGGCTTTCTGGACAGCGGTGGTGCACGCCTTTAATGCCAGCACTTGGGAGGCAGAGGCAGGCGGATTTCTGAGTTCGAGGCCAGCCTGGTCTACAGAGTGAGTTCCAGGACAGCCAGGACTACACAGAGAAACCCTGTCTCAAAAAAAAAAAAAAAAAAAAACCGAGGTGGGGGTGGGGGCAGAGAAAACCAGAGAGAGAGAAAGAGAGGGTGAGAGAGAGATTATGAGGGGAGCTTTAGAGCTCTTGGCAAATGCCTACTTCCATTATGCTAGTCAGGGAGGCTGTGTCTTGGTCCTTCTGATCGATCTACTGCAGCTTTAGATCATGAGGCTAATGTCTGGAGGTCTTTGGCAGCTTAGCCTCCTCCCGGCTCTTTGAGCTTCCTGTCTACTGTCACCATGATTCAGGTTTGAGTCCTGTCTTAAAGGCCTTTTCTCCTAGCATTGGCTATATGTACCCTTCTTCCTCTAAGGCTTTCTGGATCACACTTGCCTTCAGCGATCCATGTGGAGGGGTGTTTTTAGAAGGGAAAGCTCTTCAGGAAGCTTCTCTTCTATCCTTGGCTTGTACTGATGGTTCTGCCCTTATCTCATAAAGGTCAAGCAGCTCAACATCAGTGTTTTGTGACTTCCAGAAGAGAATTTAACTCTGGAGCCCTGTGTGGTTCAGACCAGGTCCATGGTAACCATGGGCAGCAAGGAATCAGTCAGTCCTCAGTACTTTGTCTTTTCTTCCCTTGGGCCCACATGAAGATGATAGTATGCACATCTCAGTTTAGGTCAGCTCTGCTATGTTGGCTTGTTGGAAACATCCATCCTTGTGGTCATCATTGGGAAAGAACTGAGAGAATGGTTGTGGGGTAACCTGTGGAATCCTTTCTTCCCTAGCCCAACCTCCCTCCAGTGTTCACACTCAAAGGTTCAAATTCATGCGCTACCTTACAGTTTAGGCAGATGCCAAGGTGTATAAACAGTATAGTCTGATGATCAGACCTGGTAGAGTTTTGAGATCTGTGGTACAGGAGTTTCTTGGGCTCCTGCAGTACCCTGGATTCTGATCTACTAAGGTTTTTATCCTGCTCCACCTCTTTCTCCACAGTGAGGCCTTTGGCCTTGGCACCTTCTATGAGGAGACCGTTCGGGAGCTCAGCGCTCGGCGAGCTGACCTCTTGGCCAAGACTCCAGAGGCACTTGAGGAGCCAGCTGAAGATACCTCTGGCATCATTAAAATGGCTATCAGGTTTGACCGGTAGGTTTCCAGTATATTCCAGGGCAAGTTGCCTTGGAGTTTTAGTCCTGGAACTCACTCTGTAGACCAGGCTAGCCTCGAACTCTCGAACTCAGAAATCCGCCTACCTCTGCCTCTCAAGTGCTGGGATTAAAGGCGTGCGCCACCACCGCTCGGCTTTAGTGCTGTTATGTGTGAATAATGTCAAGCATAGGGACCACAGATCTCCTTAGTATGGATACTTGGTCTTGGTTTTCAGTTTTCCAAGGTGCTTTTTATTGTTTTTTGTTTGTTTCGTTTTTGAGACAAGATCTCTCTACATACCCATGCTGTCCTGGAACTTAGTATGTAGACCAGACTGATTTTGAATTCACAGAGTCAACTTGTCTTAGACTCTTAGAGTCCTGGCATTCAAGGCATGTGCTACCTCAAGGATTGTATTGAAGGCAGGATCTCATGTAGCCCAGACTGACCTTGAACTTACCATGTAGCTATTGATGACCTGAACTCCTTGCTTTCAAAGAGAAGATGCGTTCAGGGAAGAAGACAGTACCTGAAACCCAGGCAGCACTGGTCGGGGAATATTTTTCTACGTCAGACAGAATTGAACTCTACAGTTTTCCTGACCCACTTCCTTCTACAACTTGAGAAAGGGAGATGGGTCTTTCTGTTCTTCAGAATCTGTGCTTTCCCCTGAAGCTCTTGTCTTTCTTTGGCTCTGTATCCCTGCTCATACCCTGCCCCTCACCAGGCCAGTGGGCCCTCTCTAGGCAGAAGTAGCTCCAGTCCGATTCTTGCCTTGCACTGTGACTCAGCTTTGAGTGGTGCCCTCATTCTTGTCCCCTGCCATCTGGGTCTGAGCCTTCTCCAGTCTCCAATGCCCAGACCAGGAGCCAGTCTTATCTGGCAAGGACTTGAGGTGGGGTTAAGTGGACAGCTGTTGGGCGGTCATGTGCCAGAGGGAGCTCCCAGTGGAAGTTGGAACATGTCCCTCCCTGTCACAGACAGACTCTGAAGCCAGAGTTTATTGTGTCTGTAGCAGAGCAGATAACCCTGCCACTCAGCAGATGGAATCACATTGGGCACTAAGCTAGAGCTCTATGCCCACTGTGTGGTCACCTCCACCCATCCCCTCAGATCTGGCCTTGAAAGGCCAAGCAAACCTTCTTTCCTGGCTATTGAAGGCTGTTTTCCAGCCTGCCACTCGGAGAACTGGGAGTTCTCACTACATGCACTCATTATTGTGCTAAGCATGGAGAAGCCCATCTTCCCTTTAGATTAAACCTAGGATGCACCTCCAGAAGGGAATGGGCACAAGAGCCTTGGGCAGCAACCTGATACCTCAGTTTCTTCAGTTCCTATAGTACCTACCAGTGGCTGATTGGTGGCTCAAATGGCAAATGGGCCTTAACTGTTTCTCCTCCTTTTCCTAGGAGAGCGTACCCACCCCAGATTACCCCCAAGATGTGCCTGCTGGAATGGTGTCGGAGAGAGAAGTTGCCACAGCCTGTGTATGAAACAGTGAGTTTTTCTGGCTGTTTCCTGTCTGGCATCCAACCCCAGTGCCTCCTTCACTGCTACCATCCCCATACTACACTCACAGCGTATCCTCAGCGCCAGGCTGCCTGGGTAGCATCTGAACTTGCTGTCCATAGATGTGCATAGGTTGCTAGTAGTAGGGTCAGTTGCTGATAGCCCCTCATCTCAAACCTTGGGCTTGCTGTCCAGTTCTGGCACATATATATCTTTGAGTTGGGCTTCAGCCAGTGGGGCACAGAATTATGGCCACATATAGGTGGAAACCTTGAGATAGTTTTGCTTTACTTCCTTTGATCCCCATGGCTGTTCTGTCTTTCCTACTGCCTTCTGGCCTCCTCTGGGCCTTGTGTTCTTTCTACCAGAGTGACTTTTGGAAAACAAATCTAACCTCTGTCTCTTTTGTTCAAGTTACCAGCTCCTCAGAACACGAGACCCACCCCCAAATCCTTTGCTGTTTCATCTCTTCCACTCAGCTCCAGCCATACTGCCTGATCCCTCTGCCAGATGTACCTTTTTTGCCCTCACACTTGTTCCTTCTCAGTCCTTTGCCATCTGGTGAACTCCTTTCTGCTGGGAACTGGCCCACATAGAAGTCAGTAGGCAGAGGCCCCATAGTGAGGTTCAGATAATAGCCCTTTGTTTAGTTAGTGACAGAACTCTGACACACTTGATATCATTGTCAATTTGCATAACTGCCTTTTTCTCCTGAAAGATGCAGCAGGTACTTTCCCTTGGGCGGAGCATGTGATCAGGGAGCTTCCATTTGACTTAAGTTAGAAGTTCTAGCCCAGCAGTTGTGGCGCCTGCTTTTAGTTCTAGCACTCAGGAGGAAGCAGGTGAAGTTCCAACTTTGAGGCCAGCCTAGTCTACAAAACAAGTTCCAGGACAGTCAGGGCTACACAGTAAAACATTGTCTTGAAAAACCCAAGGTGGGGTGGGGGTGGAAGAAGTCTTTGTTCCTTTATGTGTTGAGCATGTGGTGACACAGGTGGGCAGTCTTCTGTTTCCTTTGCTCTCTCTGCACCAGGTTCAGCGACCTATAGATCGCATGTTCTGCTCTGTTGTCACTGTTGCGGAACAAAGGTATCAGTCCACCTTGTGGTAAGTCCTCATTAGAGGGTAAGAGACTGTTAGTGTGGGGTTCCAAGTCTACTTTGGGTCTGGGACGTGGGTGGATTGTGTGTGGGTGGATTGTGTGTGTGAGAGCACTCAGTGATGAGCCCTCTTAGCAGTTTTTTTTATCAGAGTCTGTTCAAAGTATTTGTAGCCACAGGGCTTCAAGGCTATATAGTCCTACTGTTTACTTGTTTTATTAACTGTTGCTTCATTTACCCAGGGACAAGTCCAAGAAACTGGCGGAGCAGACTGCAGCAATCGTGTGTCTGAGGAGCCAGGGCCTTCCTGAGGGTCGGCTGGGTGAGGAGAGCCCCTCCTTGAACAAGCGAAAGCGAGAGGCCCCTGACCAAGACCCTGGGGGCTCAAGAGTTGAGGAGCCAGCACTACCTGGGGAGATATGCAAGAAGCCACTTGTCACCTTGGACAGCAGTGAGGAGAAGCTGCTGGAAGGCTGCTGACCCCTGCCCTGGTGGACAGTGTGAGGGACAGTGTGACGGGGTTATGGGTGCCGGCACCTGAACCAGGTGCCCTTGGACAGTGTGCTGGCCCTTGACGTGTGAAGTTACAGGTCTTGGCCCAGGCCATCAGTCTGAAACAAGTGCCAAGAAATGTCCAAGGGTAGTGCTGTCTCTCGTATGTCTGATGGCTAAGCCAAGTTCCCAGTGATTTGAATGTTTCTTTGAAAATGAGGTTTTTAGGCCTCACTTCCAACTTCACACTGGTATCGTGCAATAAAGACAACTTTGACTCTCACCGAAGGCCAACTGCTTCAACCTAATATCCTGACATAATTTTTCTACTTCTACTCTCTGTGCCAAGCTGGAGCTTCCCAAAGCATATCTCTTACACGTAGGGAATGAGTGGACCTTTGGGGTCCACTGGATTTTGGTGAAAGCAGGAAAGGACCAAGAAAACCATTTTAATGAGGTGTTAATCTTCTATTGACTTTCCTGATGAGAGGTCTGTGTAACCTCAGAAAAAAACAAGAGTATCCGATACCCCATAAAGGGCCAACCACACCTAGTGGTCTTGGGGAGCGGGGAGGGTAATGGGCCAGGAGTCTCCTTTGTGACTTACAGCTAATTTGAACTCGGACCTGATGAAGTGCCTGCTCAGGGCAAGGAACACCTGAGGGCCAGTGATGGTGGCAATTTGGCTTTTGTCAAATGCAACAGTCACAGATCACTCACCCCCTCACTCCCCTCCCCACCCCACCCCCCAGTCCCACTAGAGGTGAAAGGAAGTGGTAGATTCTCTTTAATTTCCTCCTGGCAGCAAGAAGCAAACAAATAGCTCCCACACATTTATTGGGGCCTCCCCACTCCCCTACTGGGAGGGGTGGCCTGACCAAAGGTCCCTGCCCTGCCCCACCCCCGCTTCCTCTGCTGTAAACAGGCTGTGTGACCTTCCTTTTGCCAGGGTATATGGGGGGAGGATTCCCCTCTAGACTGAACCTTTCTTTCCCACAAGCCCCCTGAGGACAGCCTCTTGACTCTCTGGTAACTTGCAGCCCCAGGCCCTGTGGTGTCTGAATCAAAGGCTTGGTGGTTTAGGCTTTCCATATTCTATTGCCACCCTCACTGCTCTTTGTTCAGATAGTTACCATACTTCCAGGGGCCTCCCGCAGCCCCTTACCTTTTGACCTTGGGTAACTCACTTCTAGTCTTCTGCCTCTTAGTGGAATCAGTTGTCTTTTGCATGTGCGAGGCTGGGCTGTGATGGGTACTATGTGGTTGTGTGTTTCTGCTTGCTGAGAGACTGCCTTAACTTTTCATTCTACTGCTGGGGACTCCACTAAGAAGGAAGATAGTCTTGGTCTGACCCCAGCCGTCAATGATTTTGAAAGTTCGTACCTAGATTTGTTTCTACTAAACTTGTCTTAAAATTTCCCCTTTACCTTTTCTTGTACTTGGAATGGAAGTAGGAAGACCAAGGTCCCCAGAGGACCCCTTCCTCCCAGGCATGCTAGAGCAGGATTTGGGGGACAGACAGACCATCAAGTGCAGTGGCCATGGGGATTGATGTCAAGCCTCTTTTTCCCCACTAGTGTGGTTTTCCTGGAGCATCTCCTTCCCTGGCAAGGTCAGATTTGTTTTCCCGGTTCAGGAAGCAGACAAAAGGGTACTGCTAAGATTCAGGTGGCATTGAGGTGGGTGGGAGGAGCTCTGAGGACCCTGGGGAGAGTCTTGTAGCCAGCTGAGGAGGGGCTGGTTAGTATGTGCCCAGTGATGGGGCATAGCTGGCAAAGATCCTAGGCGAATGTGCTGGTTCTAGTCCTTGAATAATTTGTTCATTAGCATAGTTCACTGATGTCTGCTTTGGACTCAGTGACCTGCCCAAGATCTGGGACTGACTGAAAGGCCTAGTCAAGCCCAAAGGCATTGTCTCTCCAGGTCTACCCTCAAAATAATTCGCTTAAAAGTTCCCAACCCCTTCCTGGGAGAGAAGTAGTAGTACCCACCCATTCATGTCTTTGATTGAAGCATTCTCCTTAGCCTGTCTTTTTTGTTGTTGTTGTTTTTTGAGACAGGGTTTCTCTGTGTAGCCCTGGCTGTCCTGGAACTCACTCTGTAGACCAGGCTGGCCTCGAACTCAGAAATCCGCCTGCCTCTGCCTCCCAAGTGCTCTCCTTAGTCTGTCTTATAGGGGTCTTTTTGTTCTCTTTTGTCTTGAGATAGTATCTTGTGCAGTCTGAGCTAGCCTTGAACTTTATTTATATGTATTTATTGTTTATTACTCTGTGCTGGGGGATGCATCTGGATATCAGAGGATGACTTTGGGAAATCATTTCTCTCCTTCCATCTTTATGTGGTTTCCAGGGATCAAACTCAGTTCGTCAGGCTTGTGTGGCAAGTGCAATCTTGTTAGCTCCTTTAACAAATTTTTCATTTTAAAATTTATTTTTACTTACAGTTTTATGTTGTGCCGGGGATTGAATCCAGAGGTTGGTGAATGCCAGGCAAGCACTCTTGTAACTGACCTACATCCCCAGTGACAGTGTTGTTGTTTTTATTCTGCAGTGGAGTTTTGTTACGTAGCCCTGGCTGGCCTGAAACTTGCTTGTTCTTTAAACCATTCTTACTCCCAACTTGCAGCTGCCTCCATGTGCTATGCTTACAAATGGGTACCACCACACTCTGCTTAGAATAAATGGTTTTATATTCCATGAGAAGGAGGGTAAGGTTGGAGCAGTTGGCGAGGATTACAAAGTTACCGAAAGAAGCTTGATTTGGGGAAAGATAAAGGGGAATCTTAGGTCTTAACTCCCACAGGCTTAAGTCCTCCCAGGTGCTACTCCTTTCAGGACTTTGGTCTTGGAAACTGCTCCCTGGACCAAGTCCAAACCCCTAGTCCAGCAGGAAAAGACAGTGATGGCCTGGGTTCCCAGTACTCTGTGCTGACTTCAGCAACTGACATTTTGAGATTAGAGTTGTCTGGTTTTAACGTATCCATCCAAATGGAGCTGATCCAGGCAGTCCTTTTCTCTATGGCCAGCATTGGCACAAAGGTAGAGAGCAGGCACAGCAAACTAAGAGTTTGAAGGGTGTATGTGTGTGAGAGTGTGTGTGTGTGTTGTGAGCGGGGAGGGGTATATGGCACAGAGAGAAAGAATTTCTAAACTTGAAGGTTCCTGGTTTTCCCTAGTATGAAACAAGGGACAGGGCTGGGCTAAGCTCTGTATCATGCATGCCTTGGTTCTGAGGCATAGAAGAAGCCTCAGAAGTAGAGCCCCAAGGCCAGGCCTATGGCAACAGATGAAAGAAAAAGATATCTCTTGATTCTCAAGCCTGGGTCATAATTTACACAGGAGGAGCAAAGGGTCTATGGAGACCCCAGTGGTCTCTGTCTACTCTCAGGTTCTATCTGCTGTACCTCCCACCAGGCTCTGTGAGAGATCTGCAGTTGGAGCAGATGGTGAGCAAGGGCTTTGGGGAAAGATCTTGACCCTCGCTGGGGAAGCAGTGAATGAGTATGCATATTGGAGAAGGGGAGCCTGTGTGTGTGTGTGTGTGTGTGTGTGTGTGTGTGTGTGTGTGTGTTGGGGGAACCTTCATGGCCTACAGGAGTCTAGTTGCTGTGCTTTCTTGTTTCTCTTTCTCCCTCCTTCCCTTTCCCCTTCCTCCTCTTCCTCTTGCCTAACACAGTTGGTTCATGCTGCCTTTCTTACAAAAGTAGTAACTCATTTCCTACAATTGGTTCTTATCTCTGCTGAGCCTTTAACACTATGTTAGCCTTTCCTACAACCTGACCCTTTTCTTTATAGTGCCGGTACTCCATGTCTGGGAAAAAAAAAGATGTATGGCCGAGCATTTAATAAATAGGTGGATTTTTCTGTGGCCCCTTATGAAGTGTAGGAATTGACAGGCCAGGGTCTACATTCTGCCTCTCTGGTCAGATATATATATATATATAATTTTTTTTTGTTTGTTTGTTTTGAAACAGGAAACAGGGTTTCTCTGTGTAGTCCTGGCTGTCCTGGAACTCACTCTGTAGACCAGGCTGGCCTCGAACTCAGAAATCCGCCTGCCTCCCAAGTGCTGGGATTAAAGTCGTGTGCCACCACTGCCCGGCTATATTTTTATTTTTAAAAGATTTATTGTGACTTTATGTACATGAATGTTTCACCTCCTTGTATATATGTGTACTATATGTGTGCCTTTTGACTATAAAGCCAGAAGGAGTCATCAGACACCCTGGAAGTTACAGATGGTAAGTCACTATGTCAGTGCTGGGAACCAAATCCAGATCCTCTGGAAGAACAGCGAGTGCTCTATCTCTCCAGCTCTGCTGCCTCTTTAGCCTAATTCACCTGGTTGAGGTGAAGTTGTAACTGGAAGGGGAGGGAGACTGCTGATGTGGGGGAGGTTGTCACTGGCTTCTCCCAACTCTTAATCATGCTCTAAGTAAACAAGACTGAGTCCCCAGACTCCAAGGGATGGTGTCTTGGGCCATCTCAAGTCTCACCGGGGAAGGCAGGCTCTTTGAGATGGAGCTAAGATTGAAAACGAGTTCTTTTTGACAGTATCACATCCTATATGTAGGCTTTCATTGCTCGAGTGTCACAATATCTTAGTCTCACAGTTGTGTACTAGGATGCAGAAGTCAAGAAGGGGACTTTTCTCTGTGCCTGCTCGACTTCCATCAGGGACCAGACCTGGCCCCTCTGATTTAAGTGAGCCCTAGAATGCACGGTATTCTCAAGATAACAGTTCTCTGGGCCTGCTAGGGACAAAGGCACAGCCACTGAAGCGGGCCCCACCCCCCACCCCACCCCACCTCACCCCACCCCACCTCACACCATAGGGTAGATCTGAATCAACTCCAGACTTGTCTCGAAAGGTTTTCTTTAGCTCCACCCCGAACTACTCAGAAGCTTGAACCAATCCCTGGCCCTGTCGAGGTTACGCCATTGAAGTTGGTATAGAGGGACACGGGGGCGAGTGGTATGTATAGGTAACCTTTGAGGTGGTCTGACGCATCCACTCTAAACTCAAGCCAGAAGGGAAAAGTACCTCTGTGGGGCCAAATATCCGGACACCTACAACCGGGGCGCTCTGCTACCCACTTCCTTGACGTGAGCTCCGCCCAATAGATAGTCTCCAATTGTCCTACGTGGGTTCCCAATCTAATTAGACAGCGCTATTGGCCCTCCACTGGTCTTGGTTTAGAAACTGCGGAAGAAATAGACTTTAACTACAACTCCCGAGAGGGAGCAGGGCTCTGTAGCTCCTTGCTCACGTGACTTCCTCCTC